GTGTTTCAGCTGCAGCAGGATTGCAGGATGACATCCATTCTCCAGGAGGCGCTCTACAAGTCTGACCAGGTCACAGCAATATTGACTGAGAGGTGAGCTGTCATATTGGTGTTATGTAGAAGTAGAGAATTCTGTAGGCTGATACTGGTCCTGTATTCATTGTTTTCAATCTGTTGTTTTCAGCTTAGAGGAAAGGACTGCCAACAACCAAGCCATAGAAGATTTAAAAGAACAAATGGAGCTGAAGAGGCTTTATGCTAACTGCGACCAGGTGAGGCTACACTATTATTATTTTATATTTTATTTTTAATGTCAGGAATGTATGGATGAACCATGAAGTGCTCAACGATTCAGAAGTGAAAATTGGAATAAAAACATTCAGAGACAGTTCATGTTGCATTGCATTGAAATAATATTTTGGGCACATTGAAAAATGATGTGGTGGTGATGTTCAGAGCCAACAGATTTTTTTTTCATAGTAATCCATTTCCATGTTTGCTCAAATATTTTTAAATTTGTAGGATTTTTATTTTAGTGACTATTATCTCATCTTGTTCTCACTTGATGACCATATTTGAGTCTGCAATAGAAGTTCAATTCAGTTAAATGCTCAGATGTTGAATAAGACACTTCACTGTGTTCCTTTAAAATTTTCAGGATCTGGAATTTGCATCTCAGCTGGTGAAGCAGGGCCAGTTGTCTGCTGAGGTTCTTCTGGAGATCCTGCGCCTCCTTCTCCCCACACTGCCCGAGAGTGAACTCCTCTCCATCACTGATGCGCTCTACCCTAAACAGCATCCGGTTACTTCGTCAAAAGAGCCAGAACCCGTTAGGTAAGTACGTCTTTGGTATTTATGCACAAGGGAACGTTCTTGTTAAGGTGATTAATACAGGGTGGAGTCACATTAAGTAAATTTGTTTGACTCACTGAACACCAGTCAGTATACAGTTTTTCTTTTAAAGACTCGTGTAAGCCAGGATTTGTGTATCTTTCAGTGTGCTTGCCTTAAGCTCCGTCTGATAATATTTATATTCATTCACTTATTGACTTTTTACTGGCAGATAACCATCCTATAATTAAAGAAATGTTTTACTAATGTTTACTTAGTGAGATTATCTCACTAAGTAGTTGTGCAACAATCAACTGAAGTTTATTTTTCACTATTTCTTTAATTTAAAAAAAGGTAGCTTCACGTGCATGTAATGAATCATTTGTTATTCTGTCCCTGGCTTCAGTAATTCAGTGGATTTAAAAGAAAGGTCAGTGAAGTCAGGAGATAAATAAAAGCATTTCCTCTCCAACAGCTTACTGAAACTCAGCCAGGCTTCTTTAAATTACAAATACTCTGTGAACGTGGTTCAACAAGAGCCATTTTCCCCTCAGCCATGATGGCAGAGATAAAGGATTTTATAAAGCGTTTAATTTCCCTCTTTTCCTGATGCACTGGAACAGTCGTATCATGTCTGTCCCCTGCTGAGTTGGGGGTTTCGAGATGAATGCATGAGGTCTCTGTGTTTGTGAGTTCTCTGGATAAAGAGAAAGGGAAAATGACTTTGGTTTGGAACAATAGTCAAAGTGTGTGTGTTTTGTTTTTCAAATGCATGCTTTTCTGTTGCAAAATCATCCTGCTCTGAAAATGATTTAAAGACTGTTAACCAAAGCTAGTATATTTAAAGAAGTAGTACATCTGAATTTTGAATAACTACCAATTTGTAATTTAGATGTTTGGTGCAAAATATTGAACAAAAAACAAAAACAAAAATCGTCTTCATGCGTTCCACTGCTTCCGTCGTCTGTTCCTGCTCTCTGCTCTCCTGCTGCATCGTGTGCATGACATCCTTCCAGTTTGTCCCGGTATGTGTGTTTTTTTTTTTAAATTTACTAAACATCTTTGTCATCTGTGTAAATAATTCTGTAACCTCAGATGCAGTGTGTTTCCATTTAATATACTAACTAACTGCTAAATAAATCTCCACTACTGTATGCATGAAAGTAACTAACCAACTGCTAAACTAACACAAACCACCTAAACTTTTATGTTTGTTGTGTTTGAATTAATAGTATTTTTTGCATTATTGACCAAAGATAACTACTCATTAATACAGTGGAAATTAGAAATTAATTTTCCAGTTTTGTGCTTGTGGCCGTTATCCCATTCACCTGGTTTATATCGTTGATGCTCCTTTGACCAGGTACGCCGCAGGATCTGATCGACTTCTTTCTGACAAACTGAGGGAAGACGTGGTGCATAAACATATAGAAAAAATGCAAAGATGCACCAAGGAAGTGGAGATGTAAGTACAAAACATGTCTGTCCTTTTCAACTATCAAACAAAATCTGATGTGAAGTCTTATTAGTAGTTCAGCTGTCATAGACAGATCCTGTTATTGGATTGAGATAGGCCTTTCATCAGAGGAGTTCCACGGCTGGCCTGCAGTAACCACATATATGAGGTAAGCACTTAGAGACTGCTATCCCACTAACAACAGCGTCTTTGTCTTCCAGATCTCACAGACTCCAGGAAAAGAGGCAGAGTCTGATGGAAAAACTGCTCCCCAGACTCCGCCTTCTTTTTCCAAATGATGCTGAAGAAGCAGAGAAAGAAAAGGAGGATTTCACAAAAGGACAACAGCCGATTTATAAATCAGCCCTGGGTGAAAATGCAGTGGGACAGCCACAGTGTGACAGGGCGAAAGAAAAAGTTGGCGACGGCCTGAATAAGGCATTACACAGCTCAGCAGGAGACTTTATGACTTCAGGCTCTGCCAGCTCTGCACTGGGCAGGTCCTCCACTGGTGAAAGGTTGTTTGTCTTTCGTGATGCACCTGGATCTACGAACGACTATGTGGATGTTCCCAGGAAAAAAACAAAACGGAGTTTTCTCAATCGAAAGAAAACCTCAGTGGCTCCGACAAACATTTCTTAAGTTTTAAAAAGAATTGTTGGCAATGTTTTTTATCACGAGGTACAGTTGTAATAACAGTATAAAAAGAAATGCTTATAAATGTGTAGCGTCTGGCTTTCTTTTTCAGTAAAGGCAGCTAGTGCCAGCAAGTGTCTCCATACGCTCCTTCATTTTAGCACTTCTGTTTATACACGGGTTGATTCACAGGGACCTATGGAGACGGATCACATGTTGCTCTTTAAATTTGAAATTGTGGTAAAGTCCCATGAAGCACTGAGCTCTGTGTTCATGGTCAATGAGTTATTCACCCACTCACTCATTCTTCTTCTACGACTAAATCCTTCTTCGACTCGCAGTGTGAGCTGGATCCAGTCCCAACAGTCATCAGGCGGGTGGGGGGGGGGGGGGGGGGCCCCGACAGGTCCCCCGCCCCCCACCGCCGGC